GTTTCTGCAATGGCTGTGAGATCATATTTGTTTAGCTTTGATTTGCACTGTCAGTTCGTCTACCTTATTCTGAATGCTTCATGCATTAAGATACAGAACTTCATGTTTTTTCTATTATCGAGTTTCTGTATAATTTATGGTTCCTTGATACAATATGACATTCACACATTCTATCCCTTCTTTTAGATTGTGGTAACAATCAATCCCATTACTAACCTGCAATTCTGCATTCTCCTTTACATTTGGCTTTCTAATTTTCCATTCAACTGACCCTCCCCACACTGCGCGCAATTTAGGTGATGACCCTATTTACAACCCTGAACAAGTGATTCACCTCAGAAAAATGAGGGGGTAGGGAATCTCATTGAAACCTACAAAATTGTAACAGGGCTCAACAGGGCAAGCATGGGAAAGATGTTCCCAATGACCAGGGAGTCCAGAACTAGGGGTCATCGACGAAGGGCATGGGGTAGACCATATAGGACTGAAATGAGGAGAAATTTCCTCACCAGAGAGTGGTGAGCCTGTGGAATTCTCTACCAAAAGAGGTGGTTAAGGCTAAAACATTAGATGTTTTCAAGAAGGAATTAGAGATCGTTCTTGGGGCAAAAGAGATCCAAGAGTATGGGGAGAAATCAGGAACAGGGTACTGATTTGGATGATCAACAACGATCATATTGAATGGCAGAGCAGACATGAAAGGGCAAGTGGCCTACTCCTGCTGCTATTTTCTATATATCTATGTTTCTAACTGTTTTATTCTTAGATTTGGCACCAGGTCGACACATTAGTATCTCTCTGCAAAATCTCTCTGTGCGTGATCTCTTACACCACATCTGATATAGCTGACTATATGTATTTGAGTATTAACCCTTGACTGTGAATAAATATTTCAGATAAAGGGTGGATGAGGATATGAGTCTGTCTGTGTTTTGCCCCATTCCCCTCAGATGTTTCAGGCAGGCTAGCCCTGTCACAACAGTTGGCTTATAGAACATGGCTAATTTACAGGTCTTAATAGCAGTGTTGCTAAGGTGAATTCAGCAGAAGGATGTTTTAAACTGGAATCTTGCCTTTGCAGCACTGATTAGATATTTCAGCCGAGAGATTTGGACTTTCATGCTGAAATTCAGCATTATTCGATTGCATTCAAATACTGGAAAATTTATCATCTCACCGAAAGTAAACTTTCTTCACGTACCACATGCTTTTGATTTGCTAGAATTATTCTGGGTGAAGTTCAGAGTTACCTTTTATGGTAACTATTCTGTATGACATTACAAAAACCAGAACAATTCAGTCAGCACAATAGAATTTAGAGTAAAGTTCATCTGTTGATAGTGACCACATCCTGGTGACTTCGTTGTTCAGAGAGACCTCAGATCAAACTGGAATGGCCTGAATTGGGCTGAACCTGTGAGTTTCAAAATTATGGAGGATCTTCTCTCGAAGCCGACTCTGTCACACGGAAGTGGTAATAGGAGAATGTGAGAGTCCATCATCTGCCCGATGGATCACCAGAAGGCCTCTTCACTTTTCATGATTGAGCCATGTTCGAATAATTCTGGAGGATAGGTAGCGCTGGTTAAATGCTGAGAGTTAAGTTAACAAGATATCATGCATTGCATATTAGCAGCTAGTTACAGACTACATTGATTTGATGACATTGGTACAGAGACATAGCAGAAGATGAAATGGCAGATCTCAGTCCTTTCAGATCCTGGCTATTCTGCCCGCCACTGCATGTAGCATCACTATCGTGGGCAGTGCTGATGGCACTCCATGATTTTAACTCATTCAAACTCATATACAACATCTCCGTACAAGCCTTTTTGTTCATTGTTTTAATATCTTAGTTGGTGTATATAATTACCTTTACTACTATCCTATGTCCTCACAAGTCTCTAACTTTACGAATTCAGGTAATCTAGAGGTTTCTTTATTCTCCTTGAACACATTCTCTTTGGGCTAGGAAAGATTGTGGCTTTCTGGGTGGAAGACAATTGACTTTATTCTTCTTTCTGGCAGTTTGAAGTCTGTGGGAACCTTTCACTATTTGGTTCTCCATTGGCTTTCATGCCACCACCATTCAATAAAATTAGAGCTGAGACAAAAATGGAAATTGATATGGAAAGAAAGCTAATAATAGGGACAACGATTAGGTGAAAATGGGTCGGCTGTGCTGAAAGCAGCCCATGTTATGACTGGGCCTGGGGTGTGTAGCTGGTAAAGGACATGGAAGAAGGTGTTCATGTTCTAAAATTATCAAACTCAATATTGAGTCCTGAAATTGAGTCCCCTAAGCATCCTAGCATCCATCCCTTTGTCTGTCAAAGCATTGCTCTCTCTCTCTTTGGGCTCAGTCTCCACATAACCATTCACTCCTTTATGCCCAAAAGCCTCTGTCTTCACGATAAATACCATCCTTTCTGAGCTACTATCAGTTCTGAAGAAAGGTCACTGGACCCAAAACAGTAATTCGGTCTTAAAGTTTCCGAAGATTTACGGCTCGGGTTGTGGATGAGGCTGTAGACTTGCTCGCCGAGCCAGTGGGTTTGGTTTCAACCATTTCGTCACCCTGTTAGGTAACATCATCAGTGTGCCTCCGGTGAAGCGTCAGTGCTCTGTCCCACTTGTTATTTATATGCCTCAGTTTGTTGAGGTGTTTGGTACCACTTCCGGTTCTGTCTCTCACTGGTTTGTACACAGGGTCTAATTCAATGTGTTTGTTCTGGTTGGAATATCTGGCCTCCAGGAAATCCGTGGTATGCCTCTGTTTGGCTTGTGTGAATAGCGATGTGTTGTCCCAGTCAAGTTCGTGTCCCTTGTTGTCCGTGTGCAGTGAGACAAGTGAGAATTGGTCGTGTCTCTTGGTGGCTAGTTGGTGTTCATGTATCCATATTGTCAATTTTCTTCTGGTTTGGCCTATGTAGTGTTTCTCACAGGCCTTGCATGATATTTTGTGTATGACTCCAGTTTTTCTGGTTCTGGGTATCGAATCTTTGAAGTTCCTCAGCAGCTGTCAAAGGGTGGTTGTTGGTTTGTGGGCTACTCTGATACAATTGGGACAACACATCCATAATCGCACAAGCCAAACACAGACACGCTAGCGAATTCCTGGAGGCCTGGTATTCCAACAGGAATTCCATTAACAAACGCATTGAGTTAGAGCCTGTGAACAAACCAGTGAAAAACCGAACTGGAAGTGATACCAACCCAGCAAACCGAGGCATATAAATAACTAACGGGACAGAACACTGATGCTTCACTGGAGGCGCACTGATGATGTTACCTAGCAGGGTGACAAAACATTTGCAACCAAATCCACCAGCTTGGCAAGCATGTCTACAACATCAGTAACTCTGTCTTCTCTTCACAGATGCTGCCAGACCTGTTGAGTTTCTTCAGCAATTTCTGTTTCTGTTTCAGTTTTCCAGTTTTCACAGTTCTTTGTTTTATTTTAAGTTCACAGCTGATCTGATTGTGGTCTCAGCCCCACTTTCCTGTCGGCCCCGAAAACACCCTCTATCTAACTCAGCTTTAAATAAATTTAAAGAGCCAACCTCTTCTCCCAACTGGAGTGGAGAATTTCATCCCCTTAATGGCACTCTGAGAGAAAGACCTTCTCCTTATTTCTATAATAAAAAAGGAGACTTTTCATACATATCTATGTCCCTAATTTTAATATCCTTCACACAAGAAATCATCCTCCTGGTAACCATCCTATCCAGTCCCCCCATTATTTCATGTGTTTCCATAAGATCACCTGTCATTCTTCTCAACTCTGATGGATTAAGGCTCAATTTGTTCAATCTTTCTTCACAAAATAAGGCCACAGGAATGAGTCAAATGAATCTTCTCTGAACAGCTTCAAAAACAATTGTAATTTTTTTTCAAAATACGGAAACCAAACTGTGCACAGTACTCCAGACATGGTCACACAAACACTCTGCAGAACTGCAATGAACCTTTCTTACATCTTTTCCATTCCCCTTGCAATAAATGACAATGTTCTATATGCCTCCTAATGACTCACTGTATGTGTGTAGCAACTTTGTGATTCATGTACCAGGTCACTCTGTACTCTATAATCTCTCTCCATTAAATTAGTACAGTATAATGCTTTTCAGTTCCTCCTGCCAAAATTTGCAAGTTCACGTTTGCCTACATTATAGACTCATAGAATTGTACAGGATGGAAACAGACTCTTTAGTCCAACTCATCCATGTTGACCAGATTTTCTAAATTAATCTCGTCCCGTTTGGCCCATGTCCCTGTAAACCCTTCTATTCATATACCCATTATGCCTTTTAAATGTTGTAATTATACTAACTTCCACCACTTCCTTTGGCAGCTCATTTCATTCACACACTACCCTCTGTGTGAAAATGTTACCCCTTAGGTGTCTTTTAAATCTTTCCCTCTCATCTTAGACCTATGTCCTCTAGTTTTGGACTTCCCTTTCCTGGGAAAAAAACCTTGGCTATTCACCCTATCTATGCACCCCCTCATGATTTTATAAATAAACCTCTATAAAGTCACCCCTCAGCCTCCGACCCTCCAGGGAAAATAGCCCCAGCCTATTCAACCTCTCCCTATAGCTCAAACCCTCCATCTTCCAAACTTCTGGCAAACACTATACCTGTCCCTATCCTTCTAACTACGCTTGATAATTGATAGATTCATACTTTGTTTTTGGTGTATTAGCAAATTTATCCAATGTACATTCTGTCAGTATTATTGTGATAGTTGAGGTCCCAGTACTAATCTTGACCAGAGGTTTAAGTAGATCCCACATCAGCTTTTGAGGGGCAAGAAAGGATGAGCAACAAATGCTGACTTTCCCACACTGTTCACATAAAAAAAACCAAAAATTCACACAAAATAATCAATGTTTCTGCAAGATTGCAGTACTGTTTTTTATTCATTAACCAACAAACTCAATGGAACCAATAAGTCCTTCGTGACACATTTTAATTGTGTTGTATTACAGACTGAAAAGGGTGTCCCTGTGAAGAGATTCTCATGTCTCACCGATCTAATGTTAAACTATCAGCAACCCTTTCAAGGGCTGGTCACACCACTGCAATATCCAGTGGAGAGAGAAAACGAAAAAGAGATGTTGGATGATTTTTCAGGTAATTTTTAATAAACTTGACTGATGTTTTGGGTCTAATTTGATTTGCCAGTATGAGCGCTGTTGATCCTGTCAATGTAATATTTGACTTGTATTGCAGTCAGCCCTGTATCAGGAACTCACAGATTTAGGACAGAGACGATACAAAGTAATACTCCTTCTGTAGGATTCTTGGTATTGGTAAAGGATAAATTAGTTACAGGATAAAGTCAACAGACTTTTAGTGGGATATGCATGAGATTGGGCATCCGACAGCTGCTGAGAAAATACAACTTCATGAAAGTCAAGGCATGGCACGCAATTTTGGTTTTATTGCTGATCTCCACAATTTGAACTTGCCTGTAGGTGCAGAATAAAACAATTGCAGGCTTAACTAGTACTAAATAGATAACAAATTTATGAAGTGGTAATTGTGGGCTTTATGTTTCCAGTTCCACTGGAGATGTGGAATGCACTGGTTGACACACAAGGATATGTTGTAGGATTGCTCAGGAGCTAAGGGAGAGGGCACACATGCTCTTAGACTGCATATTAGCATTCTGACTGGACTAGAATCAGAGAGGAAAGATATTTGGGTGCACTTACTCTCTCTAGGTGAAACCTTGAAAAAAATTTGTAATATCGATGTTGCAAACAAATTGGTAAGTCTTGAGAAAGTCCAGAAAATCTTAGTTGTGTTTCAGAGATCCACTTCAAAACTTCAGCAGCAAGGGAAGATGGAATAAGTAACAACTCTTGACTAGTGCTGGAAATAAGGGTCTGTTTACTCCATCAAATGGCCATTGTTAAGAAGGAAGTCAATTCAAAAATATAGCCAGCAAAATACCATGCAATCTCTTTAACGAACAGAAACAGTCATTCAAGTGACAGTCAGCATTGATTCATCAACATCTGGGCAGTCATTCCTGGCTCAAACTTCAACTCGTTTACAATTATGTCTCTGTGTTAAGTGCAGGCTGATGCAATGTTTAATTCAGAACTCCCGCTTTTTAAAAATTTTCTCCATCAACACGTTCAGCAGTTTTATCACACACCTCCGGAGCAGGTGGTACTTCAGCCCAGGCCTCCTCCTCTAGAGGTAGGGATACTACCACTGCACCACCAGGCCCCCAAAACTCCAGAGTGGCCAGCTCACCGGATCTTTAGCATCTGCACACGCAACTCATAATATTCCTCAAACACCGACTATTTAGTGGAACAGCAGTTGTTACAAATCTGGTAGTAGAAATGCACTAGGAATTAAGTCCCAACACTCCATGAGCCATACCATAATATTTTGATTCAATCACTAAAATGGCTAAGTTGTTTCCCTTTATTTTACACTCCAGAATAAAGGAGACTTCACAACATTGCTTTCATAAACACAAGAATAACTTGTTTATTGTAAACAAAACTTATTCTTTAAACAACTGGCAAAACCCATTAACAATTAACCTATATCTGAAATTAAACAATATTCCCTTAATCCCAAACAACCACATTCACAGTGACAAATAAGACATACAACACTGCAAAGATGGTGTTGATTCTTTTTAAAAACACAAAATAGGGGAAAAAATCCCTGTAGACCAATGATCAAACTCAATGGATAAAATGGGACGAATTTTCACTGTCCCCTGAGTTTCCTGTTGAGGAGGTTGAAATGCTGACTGTCATAGAGTGAGCGACTAGCCTTCAGTTCAATGGAAGTTTGGAAGGTCAGTGAGACTTAGGTCTATGAATAGAAATAACAGTTCAGCTTTCGGAATTTATCAAGTCTTCAGATGCTAATATTTGGAACTTTCTCAAGTTCTCAGAAATATTTTAGTGAGAGGGATTTATGCTGTTTATCCAGCTGTAGGATTTTTCTGACTTTTTCTGGGGTGAGAGAGATTTGCTAACTTCAAACTTTAGAGGCTTTTACCTTTTACTGACACACCCGGGGTTCCTGGAAAGACAAAAAACAATCCAAAAATAATTGCTCGGCAAGCTATAATACATAAGCCCCATCTATTCCAACTGAGTTTGTCTATCAATGAACACAATAAAGACCAATTCTGTCTAAACAGTTCCATATTTCAGTTCCTCATGGATATTACCTATAAATATTTTTTCCGAAAGCAGGAGAATTCCTACCCATTTCATGATCTGTAGCCGTTTTAATTTTCCTTTTGGTGAGACGCCAGGTAAATCCCTTGAGAGAGACAATTCCAAAATCTCAAACGTGCAACCACTATACAACTTGAGATTGACACTTTGAAATTCCTGAAGATGAATTTGCAAATTACTTTTAAAGAATTGGTTTTTACAACTGTGAGTTAGGTGGAGGGTAAGGATACAATGGCAATATAGGACTAATGCATATAATATTGTTCATCTTTTGTGTAAAATTAATACAATTGATAGATTAGCTTAGAATGTGCTAAAAGGCAAGTAAAAATATCATCAATAGTCAGTTAAAATTTCATGGCCTCCATTGCTGAGATAACTCCAGATTTATTAAGTGAATTCAAATTCTACCAGTTACCATAGTGGAGCCTGAACCCAATGGCCAAACCATTAGCCTAGACCTCTGAATAATTAGTCCAGTGACATTACCACTGCACCTATGTCTCCCCCACTACACAGAGCAGACTCTCAGAAGATATACAGATTTCTTCTTATTTGTAGATGGTGAGGATGAGAAACCAGCCTTGCCTCCTCGTCCATTGAATACCTCCATCACTTCCCCAGAAGCAAAAAACACCTTAACTCAACAGCTACAGGAACGTTTACAGGAGGCATCGTTGAAAAGGTAATGTTGCAAGACATATTGTTCTAATGAATTTGAACAATCCACTTAGTGAATGGAACAGAGGGAGCGAATGAAGGAAAAGGGGATGGTATGCCTAAAATGTGTGGTGAACAGTGTGATATTAGTACATTTATAAGGACAGATGTATTGTTAAATTTAGTTATGAGTAACAAAATAAGCTAGTTATTGAGTTTTATATGCGGATATTTCATCAAAGTAATGATTACAGGACATTAATGTTTGCAAGATGATGAAATATCAGTGAAAAAGGGAGCAACAAACATATACGACATTTTTATTTATAAGATGTCTTTAATGTGATGAAATATTACATAGAGAACAACTAAAGCATGATCAAATAAGATGTAACACCCAGCCACAACAAAAAAGTATTAGGACAGATTGCCATGAGCTTGATTGAGTCACAGTATGATTGCAGTGTGGAAGGAAGCCATTTGGCCCATCATGCCTGCATGAGCTCGATTATCTAGTGCCAAACTTCTTTTTTCCCTTTTTCCCTGAACGTCATGACTGTCCAAATGACCATCCAAAGCCCTTTGAATGCCTCAATTGTACCTGCCTGCAATACATTGCCAGGTTGTGCATTTCATACCTACCAACATGTTTAGTGAAGAAGATTTTTCACACATTACCTCTGCTTTATTTGCACATTACTTTAAATCTATGGTCTCTTCTTCCTGTTTCTCTTACAAGCGGAAACAACTACACCCTATCTACTTTGTCCAGCCTCATATGTTCTAAGGACCGTCTTAATGGAGGTAGTGAGGTAGAGAATCAGAGACATTCAGAAAGGAAATTCCTGAGTATGGAGTCTTGGCAGCTGAAGGAAGGACTATGAAAGGAAGAGCAGTTATAATCGAGAATGTAAGAGTTGGAGCAGAGCAGATAGCTCAAAGGGCAGTAGGACTGGAAGAGTTTACAGGGATAGGGAGTAGGAAGGCCATAGAATGATTTGAAAACAAGGAAGAATATTTAAAATTGAGGTATTTCTTAAACAGAAGACATGGTGTGTCAGTGAGCGCAGCGGTGAATGGGATTTGGTGTGTGCTAGGACATGGACAGAAGAACTTTTGGATGACCTTCAGTTTACAGAGAATATTGAGTTTGGATAGTGCAGTTGAGTTGAGCTCTGATCACAGAATCATAGAATCACTACAATGTGGAAACAGGCCATTTGGGTCCACACTGACCCTCCAAAGAACATTCCACCTAGCACCACTCACTTACTGTATCCCTGTAACCCTGCATTTCCCATGGTTAATCCACTGGCCTGCACATCTTTGGACTGTGGGGGGAAACTGGAGCATCTGGAGAAAAGCTGTGAAGGCGCAGGAGAATGTGCAAACTCCACGCAGACAGTCACCCCAAGGTGGAATTGAATCCAAGTTCCCTGGTGCTGTGAAGCAGCAGTGCTGACCACAGAGACACCCATGGTGAAATATGCGAATCCCAGGAGCAGCATTGCCTCAACTATTTGGGGAATTCTGGCCAAATATTTGGTCCACCCAGCCACACATTAGTTGTTGTTGGGCCTCCTGGCCCTTTCGAGGATGAGACAGAGCTTTCAGAGCTGCTGGCTAATAGGGGTGCAAGGGATTATTTAATCTTAGCAGCATCACTGAGAAGAGTGGCCACATCCATAAATCTTGGAGGAATGGATGATAAAAGAGTAGGGACTGCAGAAATTGTGTTGTGTGATTCTTTTGGGAAATTAATGTTTGCTGGAGCACTGGAGGATGACCAGCGTCTTACTTATTTTCAAAGAAAGAGATGGAAATAATAGAGAACATTCAAGATCAGTGAGTTTAATAGTTGCAATAGAGAGAATTTTAGAATCTTTAGATCAAGATGCAATATTAACTATCTACATAATTGGAAACAGTCAATACTTCAGAAAAGAAGATTATGTTTGGGTGGTGTACATAGACTTTAAGAAAGCCTTTGAAAAGGTATGTTACAGACACTACTGAGAAAATTATGTACTAAAGAAGTAACAAAAAAGATAAAGTCAACATAATCATGTTCTCTCATTGGAATGAGAAGACTGGTGGTTTAACCTGACAGTCACCATACTTCAAGCGAGTGGACAGGTTGAGGAGTAGAGTCTTTCTTTGTAACCTCAGCTTCTATGGAAATTGAACTCATTCTGTTAGTAATACTCTGCAAGCCAGCCATTAACCAACTCCCTGCTAAGGGAGATGCCAGAGGAAATAGTGATAACTTTTATCACCAACAATTATAGATGACAAAGTATCAGCACCCTGTTTTACACTTCACTGATTTTCTTTTTGATTTTAATAGTGTCAAGTAAGTGGGATGATGCACTAAATGTTACAGCCAAGGGACTGATGGAACAGGAAGAATATAATGTTAAGCATGGTGGCAGAGTTAACTTGCGGAGAAGACCTGGAAGTGAAGGCAAAAGTGTTTATTAAAAAAAGTCTGAGCTGGGAGGGAAGATAGGGAACAATGCAGGTCAGGAAACAAGATTTAAAATTAATAAGACAGCTTGCACAACTTGATGTTGGTGGCAACAGATAGGGCACCAGCAATAAGCATACTAGAGAAAGCATTAATTTTTATTTATTTATAGGATGTAGGTGTTTCTGGCTACCTCAGCATTAGTTGCCCTGTGAAATTGATGGTGAGCTTCCTTCTTAAACTGATGCGGTCCTTAGAGTGTAGGCACACACATTGCTGTTGGCCCGGGAGTTCCAAGCAATTGATTCGCTGACAGTGTAGGAATGGTGACATAGTATCAAGTCAGATTGATATGTAACTTAGATGGGAAATTTCAGGTGGTGTGTTCCCATGCATTTGCTGCCCATGTCCTTTGAGGCACTAGAGGTTGCAGATTTACTGAGGAAGAAGATGTTACCCAGTTCATGGTGAAACAGAAGGAAATTCAGTGGTTAGGTGTTCTTAAAGTTTATGTGGAGGAGGTGTTGGATGTGTTGCTTATACTTAAGGTTGACAAGACACCAGGACCGGATGAGATGAATCCAAGGAGATTGACGGCAATGAGAGTAGAAATTGCCGAAGCAATGGCAAGAATTTTTCCATCACCTTTAGACTCAGTGATGATAGCAGAAGGCTGGAGAATTGACTAAAACAAAAGAGAAGTACAGCACAGGAACAGGCCCTTCGACCCTCCAAGCCTGTGCCAATCATCATGCCAACTAAACTAAAAGAACAAACCTTCTGTTCTTATTTGGTCCGTATCCCTCCACTCCCTCCCTATTCAAGTAACCATCCAGATCCCTCTTAAATGTTGCCAACGTGCCTACTTCCACCACCTCTTCTGGCACTGCATTCCAGACTCCTACCACTCTCTGCATGAAAAACTTCCCTCGCACATCTCCCTTACACTCTCTCCCTCTCACCTTGAACCTGTGCCCCTTGTAACTGAAACTTCAAACCTGGGAAAATGCCTCTGACTATCCACCTATTTATGCCTCTCATAATTTTGTAAACCTCTATCAGGTCTCCTCTCAGCCACCGTCTTTTCAGTGAAAACAATCCTAGTCTTTTTAACCATTCCTCACAGCCAATGCCCTCGAGACCAGGCAACATCCAGGTGAACCTTTCCTGTACCCTCTCCAAAGCTTCCATACCCTTTTGGTAGTGTGGTGAGCAAAACTGCACATAATATTCCAAATGCAGCCTAACAGAAGTTTTATATAACTGCAACATGGTTTACCAACTCTTGTACTTCATGCCCCCAATGAAGGCAAGCATGCCATATGCCTTCTTAATCACTTTGGCCACTTGTATTGCCACTTTTAGGGAACTGTGGACCTGCACGCCCAGATCTGTCAGTATGTTAATGTTCCTAAGGGTCCTGCCAATAACAGTATAATAAGCACCTAAATTCGATCCTCCAAAACGCATCACCTCACATTTTCTGGGTTAAACTCCATTTGCCATTTCTGTGCCCAAGGCATCAATCTATCTGTATCCTGTTGTATCCTTTCACAATCGTCGGCACGATTAGCAACTCCACCAATCTTCGTGTCATCTGCAAACTTACTAATCAGACCACCCACATTTTACTCCAGATTATTTTTATATTCTATAAACAACAGAGGATCTAAGATTGATCCCTGTGGGACACTACTAGTTACTGGCCTCCATTCTGAAAAACACCCTTCTACTGCTATACTCTGTCTTCTATGATCAAGTCAGTTTTGTATCCATCTAGCCAGCCCACCCCAAATCCGATGTGATTTTAGTTTTTGTACCAATCTACCACGTGGGACTTTATCAAATGCCTCACTAAAGTCCATATAAACTACATCCACAGCTCTTGCTTCACAAATATCTTTGTCGCCTCTTAAAAAAGTTGACCAGGTTGATGAGACATGACTTTCCCCGAACAAAACCACGTTGCCTGTTACTAACTAGTCTATTTTCTTCCAAATGTGCATACATCCTGTCCCTCAGTATCTTCTCCAAAAGCTTCCCCACCATAGATGTCAGACTCACCGGTTTATAATTTCCTGAATTATCCCTGCTTCCTTTCTTAAACAAGGGAACAGCACTGGCTAATCTCCAGTCCTCTGGAATCTCGCCTGTGGTCAAGGAGGATGTAAAGATATCTGCTAATGCCCCAGTAATTTCTTCCCTTGTCTCTCACATTAACCTAGGATAGATCCCATCTGGCCCTGGGGACTTGTCTACTTTAATACAATATAGGATACCCAAAACTTCCTCCTTTAATATTTGACATTCTCTAGAGTATTCACACACACACTCCCGACCTCAACATCAGTTATGTCCTTCTCCTCTGTGAAGACCGATAACAAAGTACTTATTAAGAATCTCTCCCACTTTCTGTGGCTCCACACATAACTTCCCTCCTTTGTCCTTGAGGAGGCCTAATCTTTCCCTTGCTACCCTCTTTCTTCTAATATGTGCATAAAAAGCCTTGGGTTTCTCCTTCACCCTGTTTGCTAAAGACATTTCATGGCCCCTTTTAG